TTTCTTTATCCTTGTCTGTCTGGGAGAACTATCTAACATGATATTTGTATGGCACCCAATTCCATCGTAGCCGACTACCTTCTCAGCACTAGGGATGGGACCTGTTTCCATATCAAATGTTAGCTGGGACGTTGTTTTCAGTTTCACAAATGTAATCCTTTGATGGGAGGAATACAAGACGTGAGTAATTCTGATGATCAAAAGAAAAGTTTTTTTTTTCCAGCAGAGTAAAGCAAATCCCAGTGTCATCCTCCAGCCCCACTCTGGGAGATTTAGGGCATGCCTAACCCCGCCAAATGCCACACCAAAGGCAGGATAGAGATGTCAGCAATGCTGAAAACCATGCTGAGTGCAGATAGTCTTACGTTCCAAAGAAGCTAGCGCTCATTTTATCTCCAGCTGATCAAGCTGCGTAGCACGTTTGCTGGTTCAATTATCTTCCACTCACACCACCTCTACACCACAGGTTTTACAGCCACATCTCCCTTGTTTGCTGCTAATGCCTCCATGTTCATTTTCTCTCTGTGGTGTAACTCAACTTTGTTTCATTGTTCTCATAATTTTCACCTCTGATTTCCATGGCTCAAGACAAAACCTTTTTTTTTAGTCCCACATTCAACTGGAACTCCAGGTATGTTTTCTAACTCTGTCCAGATACAGTACTTTTAATGTCAAATTTTAATGTGGCACTTTTATTCTTTGCTACACTTCATGATTTTCCTTCTACTGGCATAGAAATATTGATCCTTTTTGGAAAATTTATTTTTGTTGCACATTGTTTTGTGGTGTTTTTATCATCAGACACACTGTCTTGCCTTTGGGATATCTGCTGCGTTCACCCATTTCTGCTTCTTTAAATGACCTTGTGCCTCACTTTTGTGCCCTTAGTAAACTTTCAAAAACTTGTTTATATATCAGATATTTATGGTAAGATACACATGAAAACAGGAGGAAAGAATTATAGTTTTAGGGAGAACATACCCTGATAATGACCTCTTAAATATTTGTAAAGATAGCCCTGGGCATCTGAGCCCACAAAATAGTTTATAATACAACAGCTTGATTACATAATGATACTTTAGTTTTAAAACGTATGATCTTTCTGTTTATGGGAAGGCATAATAGGCTCCTTTGAAATACAATATTTTTGCCCTGAACATAACTGATTTTAAATGAAAGGACTAACTAAAGAATGCCTTTCTTCAAGTTTGTACTTCACTTTGTTGTTGAATCCAGCGTGATGGTTTCTTTTACAAAACTCCTACCAGGCCTGGGGACCACACCTATTTCAGGATACATTAATTGTGAAACTTTCATGGGTTTCTATGCAGGAAGTTACCTAGTACCATTTAACATGGCATGTTTCAAATTCTAAATCTTGTTAAAAAGCAGAGAGAGAAATTTCTGTATACCACACCACCACCCCCTTCCCTCCACACATAGAAAATTTCCTTTTATATTCCATTTGAAGATATTGTCAAATTAAATTTGAAGATATTGTCAAATATAGATTAAGCTTAGGCAGAATGCAATGTGATTTGGGAGAGGGATGTGTTCTATGCAACAGCAAGATACTAATGAGAACGTGTCATTCAAGGAAGTTCATAAAGCATCAGAACTACTTCCACCAATATCAGAGTCTGATATTTTAAATTGTGTGTTTAGATAAATGTATCACCTAACCTCTAATTTTTTTCCTGTGTTTTTAATGTTTCTCTGTACTACCTTGTTCCAGCTCAAACTGCCACTGGAGATGGCACTGACGTGCATTCATGGTTATTTCTATTTTGGCTAGAAGTAAGAGTGCAAAAGTGTTCTTAAGTAAATGTTCTTCTAAAATCTTCTGTGCAGTTACGCAGATTGCATATAATGTTTTTTATTTTTTTGTGAATCTCAACCAAGCTTGAGTTCAGTTGCCTTTTAACTTTCTCAGCAGGAGAACCTGTATGATTTTTTTAATGAAAATAGTTAAAATTTGCCTATAGTTTGGCAGCTAAACTGATGTATTATTGAATAAGTCGTTTTCCTACATTTCTTATACCTTTATAAAATTTAAAGTGGAAATACTGAAGTCTTTATCATACTTTTGGCTGTCATTTCTATTTGAGTTCATCCTGTTCTTAGGTTCCTCATTAAAACAAACAGAAACAAAGTTGGAGATTGGGATATAAAGCAAATAACACATTTGTTCTCCTCTAGGGCAAAATCCACTGATTCTTTCCTGATGAACCCCACTCCAAAGCACAAGAAGGTCACCCTATAGTGAACAACAGTTGGACTTTATTACAATGAATATTTTTTTTCGGGAACGCTCTTTACCGCTATACTTAAACGCCAGCACCAGATAGGAAACTCTGCAAGGCTTTTGTTTCATCTTGTTCCCTAAGTATTTATAGCCTGCAGTGAAGAAACACTGACAGCAGTGCACTGATGTTTTTATTCGTGATAGAGGTGCCCTTAAAAGTGAATTTGCTTTGAAAATTGTTCATAGAATCGCGATATTAGAACTATAAAGACATCTCTCTCTCTCTCTTTCTTTCTCTTTTGAGCCTAATTGGATTTCCAAAATAAGTTGTTAACAATCCAGCTAAGACAATGTGGTCACGAAAAGGATGTCCAAATCCACCAATTTACATTGGTTTGGTTTGGCTTAAATTTCAAAGTTCTTGGAGCAGAAAGTTGATGGCACGTGAACACTATAATTGGCTTGATATTCTTGGATTTTTTTTTTTTCTCTCTGCCATATTGTATCGTGTCCAAATGAAATGCTATTCAGACCTCATTTCTGGACTAAAGTAAATTTATAACAATAATAATGCACTTGTATACTCCAGATCATTTTGCAAGATGTAATATCCACCAATTTACAACATCGCCTGTCATTTTCCCTTGATCTGGATAGTTTATGCAGGTTCCAAATTGAGGCTATTAATATGAGACATCACTATTTCACCCAAAGTGGCATGTATTGCTTTCACTTCCATATATCCAAAAAGGTTAAGAACTGAATTGAGTTAGATCCAAACAAAAGTTAATATTCTGGTTTGGGACTTTTTGTTTGTTCGTTTCTTTCTTTTATTTTTCCTTTTTACTTTCTGGTTTAGACTTCTATTTACATGATGCAATTCTTAATCCTTTACCAGAAAAGTCTCACATTCCTATGCTGGGAATTACTCTTGCTCTCTCACTCTCCCCTTACTCAAACTGAGTAAAACTCTGCAGATTTAGGATAGAATTGCATTACTTAAACATATTAGTAATTTCCATTTGCTCATATGTTATATATCCAGTAGATGGATAATGTCCAAGTGTTCTTGATTACCAAATCCCTTTTGATTTCTCTTAACTAAACTTCTTCTTTATCCCTCTGTAACCAAAGGGGATCTTCCTGAAATGAATCATTGCTCTCAGTATTATGTTGCAGGGCACCCGCAGGTGCAGGGTAGAAAATTGTCTAATAAAAAACATAGATAACCAGTCTACAATACAGAATTATTATTCATTTTAAAAATAGATTATTTAATGTAAAGCGAATCTGGATGTTCCTAGCAGGATAGACATAAAATAAGAATTGTATTCTGTACAGAGAGAAAACAAGGCAGCGAACGAAACTGTTGTTTCGATTTCAGTCTACATCAAAAGGAAAAGTCAATCTTTTAAAATGTTTCAAGATCAGTGAGGAATACCTTCAAGCAGTTGAGTCCACTGGCTATGACACCCATCTGCCGAGGCATGCTGCAAGGGCCTTTGAAATAAGGACTTCAACCTCAGCTTCTTCCTATTTCAGTGTTGTTACAACTGGGCTTCTGGGCTTTTGGACTTATTTTCACTCCTTCTCATAGTTTCAGTTTTTCATTTTTCCCCACCCTAAGTCAGAAAAATAATTCCTTCTAGATACATTGTCAGGAAATATTTCCTGAAAATTTTTGGTTTTGACAAATTAGCGTTTTCCAAGAGAAAGGTTTTCTCTGAAATTGCTTGCCAAAAGCTAATTAAAACTTCTGTTCCAAGTGATGTGTAGCCTGAAAAAAACCCAGTTCTGTGTAGATTCTCTTAGCTTCCTATGTACTTGCAAGTTTTAAACATGAAATGACAATGTACAGTTTAGTGTTTTCAATTTTTAAGCATGCAGATTTGGTCATTGTTGCACAATAGCTAATTCTCCTGGGAAAGGAGAGCAGTTCCCATGTGCTTTGAAATGCTACAGCTATGCAACCAGGGCTGGAAGTGCTATTTTAAACAGTCATATCAGCAGAGCTTGCTGTAGGAGATAATATGTCACAAAAGGGAGTGTGACATCTAGTTTCACCTAGAAGATAAACCTTGAGTGGATATGCAGGGAGAAACAAGACTGTCAGGTTGTCCTTGAAAAGAATGGCCTATATTAATGAAGAAATGTACTCCAGGGCATATGCTATTTGGGATATTTAATTTCATCTTCAAACTTGTCTGATCTACTATGAAGAATATAGTAGAGAAAGGGTAGTTGCGTGTAGTCTCCTGCACGTCATGATTTCAGAGTGAGCATCTCACCACTTTATTTTCAGAAAGGTCACAGCCTCAGAAATTCATGGCTGAAAAACCCAGGCCCCAGACAGAGAAGTATCCCCAGCACTATTAATATAAACACCCCATGGTTAAGCAGGGCTGGCACAGCATCCTGTGTATCCCAAACATCCCTTCTCTATAAGCACGAGGGCTAATTCACTGTTCCTTTCCCATCACACTCAGATACCTTTGCAGAACCGTATTCTGCTGACAGAATTACAAGATAATTATAGTTGGGTGTTTTGTATTCACTTAAGTTAATCTACCACTTTTATTTTTCATCGTTGTTTTAATCAGGCAGGAGGTACTTCAGTTGTTGTCAGGTGGATTATTTTTCAGTCGTTCACTACACGGCTCTTCTTCATACTTGTTAGGGCGCTTCTGGCTTCCTGACAGACGTAGAGAGAAAAATACTTATATGATCTAAAATGAAATATGTGTTTCTCTTTCAGGTCTAGATGTTGATGGAATATACAGAGTTAGCGGCAATCTGGCAACAATACAGAAGTTACGATTTGTTGTCAATCAGGGTAAGTGATTCCTCCACCCTGGTAATGTTTTGTTTAGTACTTAACTGTCTCAGATGACAGTATTTCAGAATCTGCTATACATTAGTGGCATAGAATGATGAGCCGTGTTTTGGAAAAGAGAGGACAGGGAAGGTAGAAAGATATTGCGCCGAGGGAAGTGTCAGCTAGGAGAGAGGGAAAACAGCAGAGTAAGCAGAGGAAAATAGTAGTTAAACAGGAGCTGAGAAACAAACAAAGAAGAAAAAAAAAAAGGAGGAAATTGATACATGAAATATGGTGACAAAAAAAAAAGCGCGTATGTAGAAACCAAAGATACAAAAGGTGCGTGTGTGGGGGGAGAAAGATTAAAAGGAAAAAGAGCAGATTGTTTGGATGTTGAAAGATAAATGAAACCAAAAATAGAACAGAGATCCAAAGGAAACCAGTGAAATAAGAAAAGGTGCTGAAGAGAACCGAAAAGGAGATACTAGAAGTAGAGTACTGGCTCTGTCAAAGTCAGTAGAAGATTTACCACTGATTTTGAAAAGGCAAAGATTTGACCCCAGGAAATGAGAAGAGGAAAGATCAGTATTTTGGGAACTTGAGAACCAGAATTAGAACCAATCATTGTGTTAAACTTTTATTTACTGAACATATTTCCACAGATTCCAAATATAATGAACACATTTCCACAAATACAAAAGAACATTTTTCATGGATGGGGCCTAAGTGAATCTAACATTCACCAATAGATACTGTTACAGGTGTCAAAGCTGATATCAGTAGCTAATGAGGACATGTGACAAATATATTCACCTCCCCAAACAGTCCACTACTCTTGGCAAAGACTAAACATCCCCACGTTTAATAGCTTAGCAAGTATCATCGATGATAGTGAACCTCCTGATACTACTTTACAAGTAAATAAAATGAAGCTGTTCAGAAATTAGGAAAAATCCCAAATCTGAAATTGCATTAAAGACTTTATTCACTTTTGAATTAAACACATATAAATGCCAAGCTGCTGCAACTTTTTCTCTTTCTTTTTATTAACTCTTTTAAAGTTACCTGGAGATTATCATCAGAACTGCTAAATAGCGTGTATTGTATGTGGATTTTTTGAGATAATAGCTGTTGGAGAGTAACTTCCTCAATTAGTTTTGTACTACGCATAAACTAAGACTTTTGACTCAAAAATTCTCATGAAATTGAGAGATATGAGAGACGTAAAAATATTCCCACCTTCAAGCCTCCGTTTATAACTCTAGGGAAGGTTTCAGGGGAGCAGTAGATGTTTGCTACCCCCTCAACTGCTCCAGTTCAGTCTTGTCTTCAGCTGAAACCAGAGGGCGAACTCTGGTTTATGAGGAACCAGTATTTATGCCAGTAAATTCAGTAAGACTGAATAAATCATCAGCCTCATGGTTTTGACTCATTACTTGGGTTCCTTTAGATTTATAGTTGCTGGGTATTTGTGTGCCGATAATGCAGTCTGCCCAGGCTTTCAAATGACCGTGCACTGTATTTTGTTTGGAGACAGAGAGGCAAAACTGGGATTTTCTATCCTGCTTTGTTCCCTAGGATCTTTGCTCAGGAAAAAACGTGCCATAAAAATAATGGTCCTGTCTCTCATCTCTCGTGGCATCCAAAGGTTAACGTACTTGAGGTTAATATTACTGCTCAAGTTTTCACCTAAAAGAGATGGGCTGATACTATAAAGCTAGACAGAAGTCCAAGCTGCCTTTCTACAGCACAGAGGTACCAGGCACCTTTATCTTCTGGTTAATACCATTGCAAAAAATGAATATATAAAGGTGAAGTTAATAGTACATTAAAGCCACTCTGACACTGGTTACTTAGGACATGTGCAAGAAATCTACCTATTGAGTGACCAAAGAAAACTCAAAGAAAACTACTGCCACTGGAGAATTATGTTATCATCTTTTTAGTTGTGATAATTACTGTTTCTTATGTTAGTCCTTATTGATACAACCAGGGTACTCGTGCATTTCATATCATGATGAAATAGATTTTCAATGGGAAGTGGTATTACCTATCTGAGCCCCCCCTTACACATCCTTCAAAATCTCAGCTATAAAAATATCTGACCAGATCTGTACTCAGCCTTTCCTCAGGCAAACACATGTAGAAGATAGTCTCCTGTAAACCCTAAAGCCACTCTGCAGTCCTCAGAGGTGACACCAATACCATGTGAGGGGAAATGGTAGAGTCCAACATTTCAGTGCCCAAAGAACAATCCAGTAATTTTTAATCAGAACATTCAAGAAGTAACACAGACGCAAACAATGGCTTTAAAATAGCAGGCCACTGTTTCAGTTGTATAAATAACATCCTTTCTCTGTGCTAGGTAGGAACTTGCAAGCTGGAAACAGCCCGTTGAGTCACGATGTACCTGCAAAAACCACCATGGGGAGATGGGGGGCACAGGATTTATTTAATGTGTGCTTGGGAGGGCAACAGTGGTCTCTACCTGATATCCTGAAGGGCCTGATGTCGCCTGTCAATTAGATGCTGAGGACAGTAGCAGGATCATACTGTTTCATGAAATCACAAAAGTTAGTAGGAAAACCAGTACATGCTCCCAACCTGCGTGTTTACCAGTCCTCGAAAGCTCTGCAGTGGGATGATGTTTAATAACGCACTTTCCACGCATCACTTTCACCTTCCTTTCAGTAATTACTGTGACCTCTTCGACTCAATCCTTGTTCCTTCATTTTCCTGTAGTTAGCAGTGGAAAAGCAGTATTTATATATATGATTTTCCCATAGAGATTTTTTTTAAATTTTAGTTAAAGTTTAATTTAATTATAAATGCAAAAAAATGTTCTGAAAAAGCCAATTTACATTGCAGAGATTGACTGTGCAATCAGTTCTTATATAGACCAAATACTTAACAGGCTCTTTCTTCCTGCTTGCTTTGCCATTGTGTTACACCTACATTTATAGGATATAAATAATATGTATCACATTGAAAATTAAAGTTCATAGAAGGGACTCTAGGCTGGCTGCCATATCAAAGTATTTTTTATTAGAATAATTATTAATTAAAATGTAGCAAAGCTTTATTTGGCTCCTTTTCCTATACTGTTAATGTCATCTGCAGCATCAAAAATGAAATAAGAGAGAATTGGTGAATATGAAAGGGAAACAAACTAACAGTTGACAGCTTTATCATTAAAGAAGAAATAAGAACAGTTAAAATCTAAAAAGACCTTTGAAATTCTAGAGTTTTGAGAGATGAGGATGGGTTCACAATAAAAAACATGCCTTGCATTTTTTATAAATTCCCTGAATATACTTTGTGTTTCATTCTCATTTCTTGAGGTAGGCAGCTCCTGAAGAGAGCTTTGACCTTGCCAACAAGAGCATCAGCAGAACAAACTACCTTATTTACTTTATCCCTTTCATAGAGTTTTCTTTTTCTATAAAAGTCTATTGATATCACACCTTTTTTGCTTCTGTGAAACAGGATTATCTTTTATCTATGATTTATTTTCCCATTAAGAGCTGAAAAGATCAGTTGATCATAACAGGACCAGGCTATAACATCTCTCAGCACTTTCAAAACTCTAAGTCATCATTTTTCAAATCATTGAATCAAGGCAGTAGATGCTATTTGGACCACTACTGACATCAGGAAATTCATACTTTTCTTAGTCTACAAGCACTACAAGAATTTTGGCTTTAGAAACACAGTTACCAGTCATTCAATATTTCTGGTGGTTAACCTATGGCAATGGTTTCTATAATAGCAAGAAACAACAGACAGTCATATCCATTCCTCTTATGCTTTCCATATTATTGGTTAAATCTAACATTTGCAATCTTTAAAAAAAAAAAAAGAAATTGGTACTTGGCAATTCTTTAGGGATTTTATGAAAAATCTTGAGGACTTTTGCTCATTTTAAGCAAGGTCCTCTAAGTTAAAACCTTTAAAGATATTTATAAGGATATTCTTTTAATTCACACCTGTAGGAAAAGGGATAAGGTTCTATAAATGGATCTGTTAAGCCATGTAAAGTGTGCTGGCAGTTTGAGGATATGAGGATGCTACTAGAAACATCAATTGTTTTGGCCCAAAGCCCCAGGGTGGGGCTGACACGGGCCCGGGCCCATGGGCAGGGGTGGAGGAACCACAGGTGGGGCTGCTTAGGGCCGTTAAGGCACCACTATTTGAAAGTGGGGACAAGAGGGAGATACTTTTTCAAGGCAAGCTTCTGACCTGATGAAAAACGCTAACAGTGAGGCAAAAAGTGCCTGAGGAAGAAAAACTCAAAAAAGGAGGACTCTCTGTCCATAAGGGTGTTAGGATGTAAGTAAGAGCGTGAGTTCGTGGTGTGCTCCCTGCTCTGAGTGAACTCGTTGTGTTGATGCACACTGTGATGTAACAGGGTAAGACTTTTTTTTGCTAAACCCTATGGTTTGCTGTCCTGCTCCCACGTGCCTGTCCCAGCAAACCCTCCATTGCCCTCTGTTCTTGAAGTCCAAAGATACTTGGTTGGAGAGGTAGAAGCTTGCTTCTTCATGCCTCCAGTGTTAATCTGCTGGGTAGTTGGAAAGGAGTTCAATTTCTATGACTGTCAAACAAGAAATTTTCATGAGTACTAAATTAACTGAAAAAAATGGAGCTATAAAGGGTTCATAACACATTGCTGAAACACTGAGACTCTATCCTAATGCATATATGTTCAGGGAAACTAACCATAGAAATACAAATTTCAGTACTTATTGGTTCATTCAGTAAGTGTTGGCTCATACATAATACAAGAGAGTTCCTAATTGTCTCTATATCCAAAGCTTTGTTTGCAAAACGCTTGGTGTTTGCTGTACAGGTGACCTTTGCATCCCGTTATTTCATTTGGAATACCTTGTGCGTTAACTGCAAAACACCACGTACCATCCAAAGGTCAATTACGGTGTTTTTACGGCTGAGCTACTACACTCATGTACCAAAAGGGGGGTGGTGGGGGGAAGAATTTTAATAGAGGCTAAATAATATGT